ATCTTGTTATTTGTACTTTTCAGGTCGTCGAGTTAAAAGACTGTTTTCCCTAATAACAATATGAAATTTTCCCTGGATTAATAATATGGAAAAATGAATGCATAAAGGAAATTTTAAGAATGTGGTCATAAAATGTTTCCCAGTCTATCTATGCATTTTCACGCCAAGCCGTTAAGATTAATTGCAAACTGTCTACTTGGGCCAAGGACATTGTTCAAAAATACCAATCTTAGGGTTTACAGATTCCCTTCGGAACAGAGTGCCTGTAACCCCCCTTTGTGCGTGTTTGTTGCGCCTAAATTGAAATGGAAAAGCAAAGGGGACCACCTGCGTTATGCTCGAAGACAGGTAACTCTACCTGGCTTTAACCGCCGAGATTTTTCGAGGGTCGAACAAAGAACCCAGCTGGTACTCGTGCACCCTGTGACCTAAGCCCACCTTCCACCTCTTAAAGCGACATTCACACGTATATACACTCTCGCATAAAAGTATTCGAATGCTTGCGTTTGCTACCTTCAACTTTTGAGTGAAATATATATCTTAAACTGGCGTGTTTAAAATGATATATAGCAAGAAGATAGTCTCGAGATAATGTTAGTAAAATTAAAAAATAATTCACGTTTACTGGAAACACGCACTATCGTTGGGTCACAAAAATATTCGAATCCCGTGTGGAATCTGTATGATAAAAGAAAGGAAGTCTAGAGAAGATTATATCAGTGAAGTTAAAACGTAATACAACGACATATATAATATCTACTGTACATTTTTAACATTAGTAAATAGCTTCGGTATAATGTTGCAGTTATAGTAACCTTAAGGCGAATTTCCATCGATTGAATGTACTAACTTACCGATGGTACGTACTCATAAGAGAATATCGTATATACTATTGAATTACTTTTCAATTTTACCAATATAATTTCGAAATATTTTCTTTACTGTATGTTATATTAAATATTTCAATTTAGCAAGTGTATCTCATATTCTTAAAGGTGAAAAATGTAAGCGCTCTGGTACTTTCATATATTATTGTATACACCTGACTGTTTTAAAACCCACCATCTTCGAATCACATTCTATCTACACAACGACTTTTACTGTCTGTTAGTCAGATATGCATTTTTAGCATTCTTGCTGATGCAGTGAAAGATAAACTTTTTCGATTCGTAGTTTACTTGGAATTTAGCTTCATCAGTATATATTGTACAGTTAAAATGTATATTTTTCGTTAGGCAATTTTAACTCTCAACGTTTGTACTACAAAATATCTTAAAAACTTGACGTTTCTGACTGCAATTTCTACAAAGAATTTTTTATATTCAATGAAAAATATGATTGTAAAAAAATATTCTATTGCATTTACATAATTGTACAGATTAAATCAATTGTAAGTGGCTCACTCTAAAATCAAACTAATAAGTTTTTGAACATTTCTTAATTTTAATCAAAATACACGATTAAAGTTATTAATTCTATATTGTCAATAATTATTATTGATTCTACAGCAATTCAACAATTGATTTTTCTGAATTCGATCAATTTGGCTTTTGTGTAATTCGTTTATTATTGCTGAAGAAAACATTTGTGCTGCATTTGCGTTGTGTCACGATGAAATGATTTGTCTCATTATAAGTGGATTTATAGGGGAAAAAAGAATGCGGTAGTTGAACATTGAACATTATAATCATACATGTGCTGACAATGATACGCGTTCTAAGATAAAACAATGGTTGTATCGTAGCTCTATCGTGAGTAACAACGTTGAACAATGCATTTACATTATCGAAATATTATTTTATCACATTTTGACAATGCTTATCGAAACTGTTTTAAAACGATGTTGTCACAATGAAGAAAGTAATTCATTTCATAAAATTTAGTTTTAAAAATTTTTATCAGTTTCACATTGATGTCACATGTTGATGTATATATAAGATAACATTAAGTACATTTATAGGAATTTATTTGTTTATCAATTATAGTGGAACCCTTCATTTTTAAAGGTGATATTTGATAAAAGGCTTTTTTATTTTGATTTCACAATAGAAGCTATCATTAAATGAGATTGTTTACATATTAGTATTTATTTTTTATTCTTGAAAATTGTGAATCAACTTTGATAAAATTAATTGAATATCTAAGTTTAGTTTAACTAGATAACAAGATAAGAAAAAACCTGTTGATTTTTATAAAACAAATTTCAAATTATATATAATTACCATTTAAAATAGTTATTGTATACTTATAAAATGTAATATACTATATAGTATGAGTAAAATTAATTGAGATTAATTTAGTTAGATATATATATATATATACACATATAAGAAAGATGTGTAATAATGATAAAAATGTAAAAAAAATGCACGTGTACAGAAATAAAACACAATTTGTCAAGTTTCTTTACTTTGAAATTAATATATGTATATATTAAGAAATATAATACTTTGATATTAATATGTTTGTTGTGTATATCTTGATACACTATATGAAACACAAAAGTCAAGCTAGTCAGCACTAATAGTCAGCACCATTAAAAATTCATTGTAAATTATGATAAATATTAACTACAGTATTCTCCATGCATGCAGTATCAAAATCAAAATGCAGTTCTTCTCTCTGGTTCTGTTTATAATTCCTTGAGTATCTCTGTTATTTAACATAAATAAGACATTAACAAGTATTTTTAATGCTATGAATAGACTTATTATCTCAGTATCAGCTATAATATAAATTTATTAACATCTTGAATTTTATTCAAATGAACTGTGCTGTAAACAGAAAAATATATATAATATATATAATGTGTATATATATAAATAATATATAAAAAGAAAAAAAATATATATTTATATATGAAATTTTATAAAAATTATATACTATAAATATATTTATTTATTAGCAATTAGTAATCAGATATATATTTTTATTTGTAGTCTATAATTTATACCAAATTTGATACACCTATCCTAGGTATCCCTAGGCATCCCTAGGTAACCCTAGGTAATCCTATTCGATTTCACTGTTCCACATTTTTAAAAAATCATCAATTTTAGGATTTAAAAATTATTCAAACACTTCCAGTCACTTTACAGCCACTTTATTTCAGAACACTGTATTATCTACAGAATTGTTTTATTAAAAGAAAATAAAAAATTGCTACTTTGTGTTAATTCTATATGCATTCCATCTATCTTCTAACGATATCGTTCTGCTGTAATAATAGATCTAGATAACGGAGAATATAAGAATGGAATGTAAATTCTGCAGGCGACTGCCATTGTTTTCGTCACATGGAATGCTATTCTTTACGTACATTTTGCGTGGGTCTCCTTTGTGAAGCAATTATCCTGGACATTTTCCAGTCGTATAATATTATATCTGTGAAGTAACTTTGTCAGCTATGTGCATCTAGCTAAAATTAAGCTTCTGTATACCGTTTAACTCGCGTGGAACTCATTTGTCTATTTTCTTTACTTTTCTCATTTGAGCCAACTGACGAATAATAATAGACTGATCTTATATAATAATAATATTCTTCTGTATAATAAGATAAATAAGCAACGAGCGTAAAAATAATTAAGATAAATATATAACACTAGATTCACAAATAAAGATAATAATTTTTATCTGCAATGTTACTTTATCTGGACTGTAAATTTGTTGTGTGTTATTTTCAACAATACCTCTTAAAAGATTATTATCGATTATATTTTTCGACCTTCTTTTCCGTTGATTTTCTGATGAGAAATCACTATCTTGAATTATACAAACCGACCATCCTAACATTTTACATGATCAATTTATGTTAGTCAAATTTATATACTCGGCAACTCTTCAGCCACTCTTTTCTAATTGAAGTAACTATGCTAGTTACTACTAATGTAGTAGTAATTTATATTAATTACTATATATTAGTATATTATAGTATTAATATATATTAGTATTATAGTATATATAGTATATTATAGTATATTATTATAGTATATTATATGTTAGTATATTTTTGATATATACTGTATTATGAGAAACTCTTTTTGTTCTAATATAATTGATAATAATTGATAAGTCAAAATTTTATGGATGATATTGATCCCAAAATTATGGACCTGTGATAAATAATGGTAACTGCAATTTACTAAAGAGAAATTTTAGTGAAAGTAAATAAGTATATGTAATTATTAATTATAATTTCCATCTGATTACGAATCAGTATGAATTAGAAAATTTTTAAAGTATTTTTCTTTTCACTTCCTCTTTCAATTTAATCCAACTTAAACCTTATTAATTACTATAAACATTTGTTAATTCGAAATTTTTTTTTATTAATTTTATCAAAATCGGCTAATTGCTGCTCAAATTTTTATACAAATCTACGAAATAAAAATGTGAGAAGTTTGTATTTCAAAATTTATAAACCGATTGTCACGTTTCAGTGAAATATATTACACATTGATGATAAATTTCGACAAATTTTTTAAATAAAGAAGCTATTAAACGAATAATAACATTTAGGTCGAATAAGTTCATTCAAAATATTTTTTAGAAATTTTCATCCTTGAAAATGAAGTGTAAAAATAGAGCAGAGCACTTGTTATTGATGTAAACTATTTAAAACATATTTTTGATATATAATATAATATTATAAGGAATTACTATTAATTTTACTCTTTTATTTTAATCGTTATATTTTTTTATATATAATTATACTATTTTATTACTATTTATACTTATACTATTTTATTATTAATTATAGAAAATTAATTGTACAGATAAGTCATAGATTAGTGACGAATTGAAATTTTGTTTTTTTAAATAAAATTGAAATTATTGAAAATTGGATCACGTGGTATGGATGGTAAAAATTGATCTTTGACCTTTTGGTTCGTTTATTTTTTTCAAATACATAAAACAAATATTTCAATTTTTATATAAACTTTATAATAATTTTTCGTGTGAATTATGCAATATTAATAAAACAATGTTTTCATTTACAGGATACAAAATGAAGGTTCTAGCAGCTCTGCTGCTAACAGTGCTGTTATCTGGAGCGGTTTCTCCGAGTAAAGTTTCCTTAGACAACGAAACATCATCTACGCATGCACCATCTACAATTGAATTACGTCTGTACGATGATGACAGTGCGAATTCATTCGAAAAATCCTCGGAAAAATCCCCTGCTGTATTAGCAAACGAATACAAGAAAGATGACAAATCCTCTCCGATTGATGAAAAAATACCGTCAAAATTGAAGAAAGATGATCTTCACTTTTTGAAACCGTTCCGTGGGCCTAAAGAAATGCTTTTACAAGAAATTCGTATTTTAAACGAAGAAACGAAGGTGATTTACAAATTTGTCATACTAATTCAATATACATTTGCATACTGTTCTATATTATATTTAATATCGATATATTCATATTTATCGTAATAGCAATAATGAATTTAATAATAGTTAGATACAGTAAAAATATATCTTGTAATACGAAGCCATCGAAATATTCGAATAACTATAAGCATTCCATATTTAAATAACGTTGGTATTAAAATAATTACAGACTCAAGAGGAAGTTGCACAAACGTTCAAGGCGGAAGCTAAAAAAATTAGACCATTAAATTTCTCAACAACAGCAAAACCAATCGGTGCTAATAATGCAACAGAAGAAAACAGTGGTATATCAAAATGGGTTCCAGACGAAGATGTACCCTATGAAGATGACATAAGCGAGGACGAAGAAGATGAAAATGATGATGAATATGATGATGGTGATGAAGATGACGATGAAAACGACGACGAACCCGAGTATGATGAACAAGTGATGACACAATGTCCCGATTATTGCAAATGTGCTGGAGAATATGCAGCTGCAACAACTGCAACGTACGTCTTTGAGCTTAATACAAATTAAGTTTTTCCTTTGTGTTAAAGGAAGACAAAAATACTATTGATAACACGATATTGACTTAATAACATCATGAGTATTATTAACACTTATTAATTAAAGAACTTAAAAATTTGTGTATTAATATATATTGTTGTTCGTTTTCAGATGCACTAAATTTGTGGAACAACAATTTTTTGGCACAGGTATCGTTCATTTGCGTATAGAGAATGCTGGACAAATTCGTCTTGGCCCTCTTGCATTTCAATCACGAGGGTTTCAACAGCTGGAATCGATTGTGATTACTGATACGAGAATAGTCGAATTAAATCAAACTGCATTTGACGGCATACCGTACTTATTTTCTGTCAATTTGACACGCAATGACCTTCAAGATATTCATCCAAGTACTTTCCAAAGTAACATGCAGTTATCGTTACTTTGCATTTCCGGAAATCCATTGAAGCATACACAAGATTTAAAATTAGCGAAACATGGCTTGTTTGACGCTCCATCGGTTACAGAACTTGACTTTTCCTTTAATGGTTTGATGAAATTAAAACGTACAGTATTCTCAAAGATGAAGAGTTTGACCTATATTAATTTAAAAGGCAACAAATTGAAAGAAATTGATAGCGCCACGTTCAACATGTTGGAATCACTTGTGGAACTAGATCTTTCAAATAATTTATTGAATGAAATCCCAGTTGATCTCTTCCCTAATAACGACATTCAGATGCTTCGTGTTGCTGGTAAGATTATTGTATTTAATGATATAAATTTTAATGTTAAATTAACGTAAATATTTTTATAAGAAAACTGTGTTGGGAGGATTATTAATATATAAAACTTTAAACGTGTATTTAATTTTTAGGGAATAATTTGATATCTTTGAACACTATACAAGCATCAAAATTGAGATTATTAGATGCTTCCAATAATAAAATCAAAGTAATTGCGAAAGATGATCTTTCTGGTGTACCCTCATTGGATCAACTGATGATTAGTTCAAATGGCCTCAAACGAATTCATCAACATGCTTTTGCTAATCTTGATCAACTGAATCATCTTGACATTAGTGATAATAAACTGACCTCTTTAACAGAACATCATTTAAGAGCTAATTCAAGGTTACAAGTTCTATTGATGAACAACAACCCTGAATTGGGAACCTTACCAATTTTCAAAACATTTGGTTTTGAGTATGATACATACAGGTAAAAACTTTTTTTTAATTTTGTCATACTTAATGTTGATTACCATTATAATTATTTCAATATTAAGTAAATATACATAAAGTAAAAAACATATGCAGAAGCGAAAAATAGACATAAATTCTTAACTTTATGAATTAACTTTTTGTAACTTGTCTTTTCGTTATTGTATATAGATATAATCACATACAGTAACATATTACAATATGATAATAAATTTTCCAAATCTATGTTAGAAATAATTTAAAACATCACAATTTAAATCAATTGGTAAGATATTTGAGTATAATTTTTCGCCTTTGTAATATTTCTAAAATATTTTTCATCATATAAAAATTCTTTATTTTTCTTAAAATATTCGTATAATTTAAATATATATAATAGACTTTATCTAAAACCATTGCAGTTCTGTATTCCATTAATTATCATGTATCAATACAATATTATTTGTACTATAGTACAATAATACTTTATATTTTTTTTAAGCAATAATTTAAATATACTTGTGAATCATTTGGTATAAGATGATAAAGCTATATTTAAAATTAATGTTTAAATTGGATATTTTAATTTTGTTTCAAAACGATAGCTAATAACATTAGATCTGAAATTTTATTGACATACCAATACAAATAGTTAACTCAGTTATTAATTTTATATTTATACTATATATTAAATATATCTTTACAGTGTGTATCGATTTGAATGCTCAAATTGTGGCTTGTATTTCCTCGAAGAAGGAACATTCAATGCTATGCCAGCAATAACGCAATTGAATCTATCCAGAAATCGCCTGATGAAACTTCCAAACGGACTTCTTTCTCGCCTCTCATCTTTACGAATCCTTGATCTTTCTGACAATATATTTAACACTTTAGAAAGCAACATGTTCCGCGGTGCTACCAGTTTAACTAAAATCAGTCTTGCGGGTAATCCTTTGACAACATTACAAGTAACGCCGTTCTTGATGGCTCCTGGTCTTACTAAACTTGACGTAAGCAGATGCGCATTAGAAAAAGTTTGGACTGTAACTAGTGCTCAGTTGACTGATTTACGGTACGCATTTGTCCTATATTTTTATTGCTGAAAAATTTCGCAATTTCTTAATTTATTTTTCGAATAAATCATAACAACCATAATATTATCAATATCGTAATATGTTTTAGATCTTTATCAGTTCGACAAAATCTTCTTCGTCGAATAACCGTGGAAGAATTGAATGCAACGCCCAAACTTGTTAGTTTGGATTTATCGCACAATCCTCTTAATTGTGATGTTGACTTTAACGAAGCTATACAATGGCTTACAGATCATGCTGTAACGCCAATTGAAACATTAAGGTATTTATTAAATATAATTAATTGATATCTAACTAATAATTGTAATTATCGGTTTAATATATTTTAAAAATTAATTTTATAATTATAAAAATGTGTAAAGAATTATAAATTTATATACGTCGAGAATATTTTCAAAAATATTTTTACATTTTCTATAATCACAGAGTACGATACATCATTAAGTACTTTACATTATAATCTTTATATACATATAGTAGAGAAAGGTAAGAACTATATAGAATATATTTAAAAATATTAAAAGAATTAAATTTTTGAAAAAGAAACTATTTTAAACTATTAGACAATAAGTAAGTAATGATTTTGTATAATTTTTCATAACTCACATTTGTTTTTTATTTAGACAGGCAAGGTAAAGAATACTTTTTTAAGTTTTTTTTTTTTTATACAATTGTATAACACAAACTGTAATACCGACATGAGTGTAATATTGAATACGGTAATATAGACTTAATGATCTTAAGTTGCTAATTACTATTAAGAAAATTAGAAAATTTTAAATGTAAAATAACAAAGGTATACAAATTAGATGAAATAATATGCAAATCTTTTATCATTTATAGATATATTAGTAATTATGGTAATACCGACAACTACCCCGATTCCGAAGGTATCAGTCAATGGACCGATTTGGGAAAAACAATTTGTAACGATACTAGTACCGCACCACAACCAAGACCAGTTCCTCATAAAGAAAAGAAACTAACGATTTTCCTTGGATCATTTGACACGTCAGAAAACTCAGATCCTTTGTTAAGAAGCAATGTTGATAGCGATGATGAGGAGGTATATACACATTTTATAATATTTTTCAATATCTCAATTAAATTTTCTTTCCAAAATAGCTTTAAACTAAAAATATCAATTAGAGCTAGTTTACATAAAACGATTGTCTAGTGTACAATAATAAATTCAAAAGCTATTTATTGAAGTAATAAAAATGATTTGTGTCTAGTGATGTTCATATATTGATTTTGAATTTTTTATGTCTGAAGTGACATTTCATAAACAAATTGACGTAACTTTAATATTTTATTTATACGTAATGTTCTTTATATCTTAAACTGAACATTTTACAAAAGGCGCTCGTTACTTACCAATTGTTTCTTGTTATAAAACTTAAAGTAAAATTTTTCTTCTGTATAAGCTTTATTTAACGAAAAATTATTTAAATATTTTACATATCTATCTACATGAGAAATTATTTCAAATATCAATCAGAAATAATGAATTATTTTTCTTTATTAGGAAATACTTAAACTGGACATTGATCATGGAATAAAATCAAATGAAGTAGTAGAAAAAGCCTGGACAACTCAAGATCAAGAATACGAAGATTTTATTGCTTCAGAAAATATGGAATATCATCCCTGGTACACTAGTGCACTTTGGCCAGTAATTATCGTGGTTGTCATAACTTCAATGATTCTTCTACTATCGGTGCATATTGCAATTCATTTGGCGAAACGACGAGGTCAGGGACCCGTAATCAGGCCACCGATGATCCTTCGACAAGGCTTTATTGACAATAAGAATTGTGGTTTAGTATACAAACCTCTTCAAGAAGAAATTGCTACACCGCATGTTCCAAAACGAGGAAGCTTTTATTCGTGTAGTACATTCCACTATGATAAAATTGTGCCAGAAAGCGTTTAAAATTTATGAGCTACAAATAATCAATTATTTAGCAACCGATGTAATTCAATTTAACCAGACACTAAGGGGAGTAAAAAATTCTTATGGAAATAGAAATTATTTTTAAATAAAATCGATTAATTACACTCGGAAAAACCTGCCATGTACAATATTCAACTTATAATGATGAACGTAAAAAAAAAGAAAACATTTTTATGATTAACATTTTAAAATATTTAAAAATAATAAAATGTACTGGCAATAGTTTTTTAAGTATGTTTGATTAATTAAACAATTACTAAGAAACACGTTTTTCAGAGTGCTTAATGTTCCAAGATGTTTATAATACTTAACAACTTTTTGAGAAAATTCATACATTTTATGTGAAACTTTTACTTGCATAAACCATCAGTATTTCTTTTAATTTGAACAAATTTGCTACAAATTGGTATGATATAGCAGTAATTCAGTTGTATGCATTTTTAATTAGTATTACATAATTAAATACGTTCATTAATTAATATTAATAATCGTAGAATTGTCATTTTAGAAAAATAGATAAATTATTACGAGAAAGGTTGGGAATGGGAAACAATAAAAATTGACAAAAAATTATAAAAGCAGGGTTTTAAAAACGCAACGAATATAATTTTACATTTCAAGTTCAAACAATCTACCCAGTCACAGTAATATATATTTTATATAAGATTCATGACTTCTAATTACGGTGATGGTAACATCATGCGTAACATCTGTTTAAGCCATAAAAAATTAAGTATTTTCTACTAAGTACTGCACATAGTACTAAGTAAACTAATGTCTCGTAGTATAGGTAGTACGTTATCACGTACTATGTATTATGCTACATGTTGTAAATAATGTATAACGTTTTAATAAAATTTTTGATTATAGTAAATAATTGCAAATTTTTTCTTTTTAATACTCCATTCTGTTTAGAAACAATATTTTAATTATCTTTATTTATAAAAATAATTAGGTATTTTTATTATATCTCTACATATAATATTATCATAAGTTTCATACAATCTATACTTTATATTATAAAGTGACAATATTATTAAGATTGTTTTATTCAAATTTTTATTTAAAATAGTAAGTCAATATTATTTATTATATAAAAGTGTAATACACATTGAATAATTATTTAATTATGTTACTATTATTAAATTGAAACCATAAGTTTATATTAAAAAATTAAATTTTTATCATTTTGTATCATACATTGTTTTAGTACATGGAAAATTTAATAATTAAAAGTATGTTGAACTTTGAAATAAGGAGTATTGTATAACAAATTATGAAGCCAATTTTAATGTTTAAAGTGACGATATTTTTGTCACTATAAGGATTAAGGTGAATCGTATATACGATTATCAAAATTATAAGATAATTTTATATATGAAAATGTTATAAAACAAAATGTAAACATGTAATAAAAACTTAGTGGTTAATATTGAATTAATTATTATTATTACTTAATCAATTCAATTTAAACAATCTTTTTTAATTTAATTAAAAAGAAACAATGAATTATTAAGGAAAAGAAAATGGGAATCTCAAACTGACAAATAATACAGAATTTTCGAAATATTATAGATTTGAATATACATATATATATATATATATGATCGAGAATGTATAATTTCTATCTAGAAATTTAATTTCAATTAATATCTTTGATCAATATCTTTGGCCTCAATTATAATCAACGCTATTTAACGCAACGAAATTGATAAGGATATTTTAATCAACTTGTTATTTAACTGGTTATAATACAATTTTTCATACAATTATTAATATAATACAAAACTTAGAGAAGATTATATTTTTAATTGGTGTAGTAATTTCAATTCATACAAAGCCATGTAATTTTTTCTTACCAATTTTTAAGTACTTGTTAATATGAAAATGTAAATATCATAATTGATACGGCACTGGCTGCTACGTACGTAAAATCATCTCATTATCAATATAAACATGTGGATTAGCATGAAAGACTCATACTTAAATGATTAGTATAAAACAGAGCACAAAAAATAAAAAACATTAAAATTATAATTAGTATCTTTTTCAATTTTTACTTTCTTCAATAATTATACAATATATTACAAAAAAATGATTCCGAGAAGACGTACTTTAGATTTATTACAAATTATTTCTTCCCAATCGTGAGTATATTCCAAATACATACATACATGCATCCAAAATAACACATCTATTCAGTATAATATTCTGTAACATCAAACTTATGCAATATGTTACCAAATATAAATCACACTGTATGAATAATTAACATTAATTATGTAATGTATTTCCAATATAAAAGTGTAATCAAATTTATATATAAAGTTTTTAATAATTATCTTTATTAATTAAATATGTATATATGACATATTTATGATAATTTACACATATTACATGTATTGAAAACTTATATATAAATACATATATCTCTTTTTAATAAATTTATTTTGTATATCTTCTTTATAATTTAGAAATAATGTATTTTTTAATATAGTATTTAATTTAAATAAAATTATAACTTTTGCTATTAATTATTATGAATTATTTGAAGATGTAAATGTCCAGCTCATGGAAATCCTGGAAGTACAAATATACATGAATTAAGGAAAGCTCGTAGCACAATGGCTAATACAATGCCAACAAAAGAATACGCATTTGAGGCATGTATTTTAAAAATTTACATCCTCATACACTGATACTAAATTTGTTATGAATCAAAAAATTATAAGAAATGAAAAGAATTATAATTAATTTATTCAAACAAATATTTTTATTTATTCAGAAAAGAATAAAATTATTAAATTTATTATCACTCATAATTTTTAATACAATTTAATTTTTATGTGTTTAAGAAATAGATATTTAATAAGAAATATGATAACAGATACATTTATTTAACTTTAACTTTATTTGACTTTATATTTTTGAAATAAAAAACATAGAAAATAATGTTAAAATTAATATCATAAAAATAAAATTTACATCTTTTATTTAATTAAACTATATTTATCATTTTCATCTTAATAACAATAATTGCAGATGGCTTGTTCTACAGTACGATATGGTGTTGGTGTTACAAAAGAATTAGGTATGGACATGAAAAATTTTGGCTCAAAAAATGTATGTTTAATGACAGATTCCAATTTAATAAATTTACCACCTGTTAAGGCTGCAATGGATAGTCTTACTAAATATGGTATACAAACTACTGTTTATGATAATGTACGTGTAGAGCCTACAGAGCGAAGTTTAAAAGATGCCATTGAGTTTGCTAAACGTGGAAAATTTGATGCTTTTATAGCGGTAAGAAACAAACACCTGTATAAAAAATTGTGATTTCCATTTTCTGAAAACGTATTAAGAAAATAATTTTATTAGGTCTGCATCTTAAGAAGTAAAGGATAAAAAAGATAATTGTTCTTATGTTTTTAAATTTTATAAAATTAATCATAATTTGTGTAATTATATGTTAGTTATTTAATATAAAAGTTAATATAAAATTAATTTTTTTAGGTAGGTGGTGGTTCGGTAATGGATACTTGTAAGGCAGCAAATCTTTACAGTTCTGATCCCCAAGCAGATTTTTTAGATTATGTAAATGCACCTATTGGTAAAGGGAAACCAATTGTAGTACCATTAAAACCATTGATAGCCGTGCCAACTACATCTGGAACTGGTTCAGAAACAACTGGTGTTTCTATCTTTGATTATCAACCACTTAAAGCTAAAACTGGTATTGCTAATAGGTATGTTATTTATTGTAATCTTAATAATAATAGCAAAATAATTATTATTTAAATACCAATAATCCATATGTTGCAATATATATTATATATTATTAAGTGTAAAATTATTCAAAATCATAATTTATTTTGAGAATTTCAATTACAACAGGGCTTTGAGACCTACTTTAGGTCTTATTGATCCAAAACATACACTCAGTATGCCAGAGAGAGTTTGTGCTTATTCTGGTTTTGATGTGCTATGTCATGCACTTGAATCTTTTACTGCAATACCATATACAGAAAGAGCTTGTCCTTCTAATCCAATTCTTAGACCAGCCTATCAAGGTAGCAATCCTATCAGTGATGTATGGTCAAAATATTCTCTTCAAATAATGCGCAAGTATGACAATTAACATTTTTAATAATTTTATTATAATCTATATTAACACGTTGAATGTCATAGGGGTTACCGGTGACCGGCACCTAACTTGACGGTGGCGCCACGGGGGCCACCGGTGACCGGCGCGCCCAGATTGATAGAAATATATATAATTTAAACAAATGTCAATATTTAGAAATTTTTATTATCATCGTTAATTCAATGGTGACCCCCGTCTCAATTAACATGTCAAACATGGTTATACATTGTAACTTATCTATTGCAGATAATATTTCAATATATATGTATCGCATAATGGAAAATTCATCGTCGAGCCTCGGGCAGTCCATGTAAAACTGGCGTGGCATTCAACGTGTTAATATAATTTTTAGTTTTCTTAAAAAAATAAATTATTTTTATTCATATAGTTTTATTTTTATTTGTATAAGTTTTAACTGTAAAATAAGATTAGTAGTAAAACAATAATTGCCAAATTTTAAAAATTTGATTTTTCATTCATTTTTGTGTACATAGATATTTTAAAAGAGCAGTATATAATCAGGATGATCTTGAAGCTAGAAGTAACATGCATCTTGCAAGTACCATGGCAGGTGTAGGATTTGGTAATGCTGGAGTTCACCTTTGTCATGCACTTTCATATCCTATTAGTGGAAATGTACAAAGTTTTCAACCTGAGGTATATTTAATATAAATTCTGTAAATATAATTTTATAGTAAAGTAATAATTAATAGCAAAAGTAGTTAAAATAATTAGTGAATAAAGAAAATAAAAAGCAAATCCTCTTAACTGCATGTATATATAACTAACCTTATAAGTTGATCAACCAATAAATATAACACAGTATATTTTTTACAAATCATTATTTTCCATTTTATATTCATAAAACATTATAGTTTTCAAGATTATATTCAGTTTTTTGTACAGAATCCTACAGTTATATCCATCTATTTATTAGACAAAGGAATGTATTAATTTATACGAATTACTTATATTTAATTCATTGGACATAAATAAATATGCATACAATATATTGATAAATGAGATTAATAAGTAATGATACATTGTTTATTATAGGGATATAGTAAAGAACATCCTATAGTACCACATGGTCTTTCAGTTGTTATATCAGCACCTGCTGTCTTTGCTTTTACTGGAAGTGCATGCCCAGAAAGACATTTAGAAGCTGCAGAATTACTTGGTGCTGATATTAACCGTGCCAAGAAAAATGATGCTGGTAGAATATTAGCAGACACTGTTAAAGAATATATGCAGATGATGAAAATTGAAAATGGCTTGACAGAAATGGGTTTTAAAAAGGAAGATATTCCTGCTTTAGTTGAAGGCACACTGCCACAAGTAAGATGTATTATTCTACTTTTTATTCTTTAACATTTTTTTTTTTATTACAAAAGTAATTAAGTTATTTAAGTAAAAAACCAATGAACTCATAAATTATTGTCATTTTCTTATATTTCTTTAATAGTACAAGTAATATTAAATAAAATAACCATTGAAATAAAGATTAAAATAAAATAAAAGTAAAATAAAATAACCATTAAATAAGATAAAAAGTAATATTAAATTAAATAATATTATATAATAAATAATAATCTGTTGTATATATTTTATTACAGTTAAATTTTATTAATAAGCAATATTTTCTTATAAATGTTATATTATAAAAATATCTTAATCCCAATAGTTTAATTAAATTAGGTGTTTTAATATTATTGTTTATGTTAAGAACATATTTTGGTAAGTGAGGGAGAAATTACAATTATTTTGCAATAGTGATTTATTTGTCACTATACACTAATCATGACAATTAAGAAAATTTGCCATATTTTTCAAATTTCATATCAATGTATATGACGAATTCGCAATTGTCACATAATATATATTTTTACATTTCAAATTTTATCTTTTTGTATGATCATACAATATTTGTTTACTTTTATAACTATATAATCTTTTATTTATGTAATGTCTTTTATTAGTATTATGATTTTACTAATATATGTTTATATTACTTACAGCATCGTATCACAAAATTAGCGCCACGAGATCAATCGAGGGAAGATCTTACACAGTTATTTGAAAATTCATTTACAATTTATTAAAAGAAAAATATTTCTCAACCTTACTTTATCAAAGCAATATGAAAGCTATCTTGTGATATTAAGGCTTTTTATATGAAAGTTTACTATCTTAAATCTACTTTTTAAATGAATATTATAATGAATCTTTTTTATAGTGATATACAGTTATGTAAGCAAAATAATTATTAATCTGAAATAGTACATTACAAATTATAAATAAAATTAAATATCTAAAACATAAATAAAATAAGCATTAACAAAAAATGTACAAATATCTTATGACACAAATATCCAATTGATAGCGTTTATACAGTCATCTTTTTAGCAGAAACATAAAGAACTCTGAATTGATGATTTACATTCTGTGATGTAATTACTAATAAATTCTTATTCTTATACCAAAACTGTATTTTAAGACTTGTATATATTTTAACAATCTTAATATAGCAAAATATAGTATCTGATTACCTATTACAAATACATTGCATAATTACTCATCATCTTCTTGCGCTGTAATAACGACTCTAGCTCATCATGAGTTTTTCGTGTTAAAATTTACAATAACGAGCTACACTCGTTATGTAACAAAAATTATATTTAACATGTTTTAACGTAAACAAAATATATGAATCTTAAAATGAAATATATTGTTTACTTTATATATTAACTAACTAAAATAACATCCAAATTCAATTCACAAATTTTCGTAATATTGTAGCGCAAGGAATTAATATCGAAACTTAGGAGTAATTAGAAAATAGCTTCAAATTAATGTTCATTTGAAGCAGTCAAATATTATCTTGTAAATCTATCTATGAATTTAATAAATTTTTGAATTTATTTGTCATAAAATGTAGGTAGAAATAGTCCGCCTCATTTACAATACACACCATCAATAAATGTATGACTGACGATAACGTGAGTTGACCGATTTTATGTACTTATAATTATTAACATCATAATATTAATACGGGATTTGTAACAATTTATTAATTTTAGTTTACTATCTAATGCTTGAGAAATGATTTATGATTATTTTGAGAAATGCATTGATCATAAAAATCATTAGTATCATTTTTCTTGTAAAATATAAAAAACTAAATACATACTCAACATCTAAACTAATAATAAATCATTGAAATATATAAATATCATTTGTATTTAAATCATTTTATTAAATACATTATATGTATTTAAGAGAAGCTGAAATTAATAATTTCTTGTAGAAAATTGATATTCATGTACAAATAATATTTTAAATTTCTAATGATATGAATGATCTGAGAGCATGTATTTTCAATATTTTACATTTGGCAAAAAAATTATACTAATAATTTACTTATTTCATAATTATAAACATTTATCAAAATAATCGTGTTAGTACCATTTACAGTCCAAATGAAATTAGCATTGGCTCTGTTATATCAAATATTTGTTTCCCTTTCATTCTTTTACATCATAATTAAACTTCATTCTTCAAATGTAATATAAAATTTGTTGTATAACATTTGTATGGTAAAGTTATCATGTTTGATATAATAGAGATATATGTATAAAATTAAATTATTTCGTTTAAAATTTGTTTTTTATGTTCAATATAGCTAATGCAACAAATTTTTTTTACTTTACAAATATCCATTTTTGGCTCGAAATTTTTCGAATACTTCTGAAATTTACAATGCCATTTAAGAAAATAGTTCAAATTAATTTTTGTTATATAGTGAAATTTATTAATATAATTCAATGTTTCATATTGTTTTAATTACCTTAAATATCATATCAGGAGCACTTTTGTACTTTATCCTTGGTATAATTTCATGTAGTTAACCTTCCATGTTTAATTGTATTATCAATCATTTTTAAGCTGCAAATTATTCATATTTTGTTTAAACTCTAAAGTATTGAAAATATTTCAAAATTCTTTATAAGTATACTTCAAATTTCGTATATTGCAATTATTATCTTTTTGATGACATTAATTTACTTACCATCGAACCTCTTTGCAAAAATACTGTTTTGGATTTAAATATTCATTTTGGTATTTCACAGTCTGAACTGACTTCCTTGACTGCAAATGTAAGACTGTTCATCAAGGAACGTCTTAGATTTAATTATCTGTACTAATAATGTTTACATTTACCTCTCAATATCAAACTATTACACACTTCGTAATAATTGTGACTGGTGTATACAAAAAATAACAATACTGTGAGTTTACAATATTCGTTCAGAGAAAAATAAAATTACGTTCTAAATATACACATCATTTGAAATTTATACTATTTGCTTTAAATTAATAATTCATCGTGTATGTATATTATAAGATAATACAAAAACAAGTAATTTATAGAAGTTTTTAAATTTTGTAATTGTATATAAAATTTATAAAGCTGTTATTTAATTCACATTACTATTCATATTCGACATTAAAAAATATCTGATATTTAAGATGAAATTTAAGATAATACGAATAATAATATGAAAATAATACGGACAAATTTTATTTAATGTTTTTTTATTTATTTTCACAGGACAGTTACAGTTTGTTTCTTTATATCGTAATTGACACTATTAATTATGTGCCATTAACATCATTGACAATTAAATTGAACTTTTCCATATTTTAAATAATATTGACGTATTTATGTCATTTGATGATATATATTTACTAGATTATGTAAAATTATTTGATTTCTTTTATATATACTTACATTTCTCATTTAGTATTACAAAATAATAACATTTGTCTAGATGAGTAAATCAAAGTCATTTGGTATCCCATTAATATTCCAAAATTACACTGAAAACGTTTATTGTGGAATATATATTTATATATTAAACACGTTTTATTGCAAGTAACATATACATTGTTTTTTGTATATGAAAATTTCAAAAAAATTTATTTCCATTCTATATATTTATATATATTAGTATAGACTCTATTTATTATTAAATATCTTAAGGTTATCAAACTCGAACAATGGTCATATAGTTTTCAATTAAATCCAATAGATTATATACATATATATTCATATCCGCAAAGTTTGATTAGAATTATATACACTTCATTTGCTTCCTTCGGTCGGTCAATGTTGTTGACAGAGAAGCTACTTCCGTAGTTTTGTTCCCCTGAATATGTCATCACTAACAATAAGCTGTGGATATAATGTCGAAATATACAATATACAGTTACTTACGTAAGACTTTGTAAATGACGTAGATGACATTACAAGGAAATATAGTCCTTCAATATGATTATCTTTAAAGATATTTTTAATTTAATATATGTTAAAATGAGCATTTCATTAAAACACAACATTAAATTTGATATATATTTTTAATTTTGGGTAACGGTTATTATATTATTTGATTTATTAGAGACAAACTTGAAATTTAATCTTTTTATAGTCCCAATTACATAATGATAATGTATATATATGTATACAATCTATATATATAATAAATGCTCTATACATAATAAATTAATGTCTTACTTTACGTATGAAATATATACAAAATGTGTACACATATAAAATATGCGAAATAATGGAAATATTTTTAATATCCTCTAATGGTAAAACAAATTTCTGTCTATGGTACTGCAGTCTTCATTTCTTTATATACTGTATATAAAAACATAATTTTTATAAAAATTCAATTACATATTTAATTTAACTAACTTAACTTTCTAGCTTGTTCTTTGAACAATATACGGTAAATGAGAAGTTTGTTTGATTATTTGCATGTGCACGACATTAGGTAAAGTGAAAGAAGTTTCTCTAATTTCAAGTTTTGGCGCTTGAGTCGGGCAGCACTGTCTTAGATTTATAGAGGAAAATCCGAAAGCTTTGAGTACGTAATTATTCGCTTTTTAAGAGCACACTAAACATGTTAAGCATTTGAAGTGTACGCAATTGAAATGGGTTACAAGAGAAATGTTTATTAGTGAGTTGATGCGGATGAATGAATAGGTATATACATACTACACACTTTATTATTTTACCGATTGTAGTAACGATTGTATTCGTATGCGTTAAGAATAGTCAGTCAAACTTATTTATACATACATATGTAATATTGGTATATTTAATCAATTTAAAAAGAGATAAATCGATTGTAAGTTAATATACGATATATAATAATAGTATACATGTAATCGATATAACATTATTATACTATAGCTTTTCGACGGAAAGTTTTTGTGTAGTATATAGCGAATCATAAGCGTACAATATAAACACAAGTCTGTTGACTATATTACTGCCAGTCAAGGAGCAACGGAAGGAGAGGGGATAGCCGACAGTTCTATAAGTGAGATTTAATTAGTAAACAGATAAAAGTGGAAGGATAGTAATTTGCTTTCACGTAGAGACAACAGAGATAATGAAGAAATTATTCTATAATTAATATAGTTGACTGAATGAAAGAGAAACTAATTGAAATGTAAGAAATTTAATTTAAATTATGCAAATTATTTATTTATTTTACCATTACTTCTTTTAGTTATTTTATTTTTTGTTCCTTTCATATAAATCAGAAATGATTTAAGATGTTAATTTTAAGAGATAATTTAAATTTGATTGTAAACCAATATTTTCTATGATCTAAATCAACTTTATTGTAATGTAATTTAACTAATGAGACAAATTTGTCTTGTGCTTTTATTAGCATATTATAAATATTACTATAACAAATTGTAAGCATTTCTGTTCCTTAAATTTTTCGAATTAATTGAAGGTAATTTAAAAATATTTTATATCTTAATATTTTGAAAACATCTTTTTTATTTAAAACTTCATATTAATATTATATATAAACTAGCCACAACTATTCATTTATAAATAAAATTTGTTTCAACTATTTCAGTTTCCCGATTTTACCTTATTTTTCCAAGAATGTTAAACGTCAGTATCTTTTGGATGGATGGTTTTAACAAGAATTATTACAAACATAATTTACATATTTTTTATATAAATTACAGTAACAATTCACTGAAAATTGTTAAATCGAAGTTTCTTCAT